GACTATGATTGATAGCATGATGGCTGTGAAACGTGACACTCCTAGGCGTGTAGCAGGAGTGCTCCATGCAAATAACGATAACACTGACTTTAACCTTGGACTTGCACCAGTGGCATTAGTATTGTACTTTCCGCATGCGCTTAATGTTTTCTGTACTATCCACTGTCTCTTCATTCTTCTTCCTTTCATGTCTTCGTTTTTGTCTCTCGCCAGGTCAAGTTCAGTCTGGAGTTGGTGGCCTTCCTGGCGTCCAACCTCCATGTCCCTTTTGAAGACTACAGAGTCCAAGATTCTGGCTTGTAAGAATATTTTTTACTTGTGCCAGCAGATTATTCAGTTCAATTCAATTTTATTTGTATAGCGCCAATTCATAACAGAAGTTATCTCAGGACACTTTTTCAAATAGGGAGCAGGTCTAGACCGAACTCCTTTTAACAATTACAGAGACCCAACATATATAACCACTAGGAACTAATGTAAATGTAGCCAAGCAATTTTAAGCTGCTAACCCTTCATGGTGAGCTTCTGTAAGTGTAATATGACTCTTATTTGGCAGCTGTTATGTAACTAGCTAGAAAACTAACATAGACCCTCACTGAGGATACACTGATAATTACTCCGCTTTGTCTGCTCATGACAGGTATTCAGAAAGACCTATGGGCTAGGTTCGTCACCCTACCAAACCAGGATCGAATATGGACTCTGACCCTCACCAACAAGGTGCTGCGCAAACCAGCAGAAAAAGGTGGCACCCTCCTTTCAGTCTGTGTTTGTTTATTGGAAGGCCATGATGTAAGACCCGTGACATAGCTCACGCATGTCTTTTCTGTCACCATCCCTTTCCTCTAGTCCCAAAGACTCCCCTGGTGATGGTCCACGGCTTTGGAGGAGGGGTAGGCCTGTGGATCAGGAACTTAGAGGCGCTGAGTCGATCGCGGCCTGTTTACGCGTTTGACCTCCTGGGCTTCGGCAGGAGCTCCAGGCCTCCCTTCCCCTCAGATGCTGCCAAAGCAGAGGAGCAGTTTGTCAACTCTATCGAGCAGTGGAGGCAGTCTGTAGGCCTGGAGAACATGATTCTGCTGGGACACAGTCTGGGGGGGTACCTGGCTGCCTCTTACGCCATCCAGTACCCTTCAAGGTAATAATACTAAATGGATACCATGTAAAGTGAGGTGCTGCTTGGTGGAGTTTGGTAACTTTGGACTTAGCCAGACAAGCTTTTCCCCCTCTTGATGCTAAGCTAACCGGCTTATTTTACCATACAGATATGAGAGTGGTATCAATCTTTTCATCTAATTCTCAGAAAAAATGCAAATAAGTGTATGTCTGAAAATGCTAAACTATCCCTTTAAATAAAACTTAAAGGTGCACTAATTTTATATTACCAGTGGATCAAATGTGTAATGTGAAAGGAGGCACTTGTAGTGACAAACCCACAGGGAATTACCATCTAACTCTGCAGTTCCTGAGCTTTTTAGCAACGTTTTTGAGCAACGTTAGCAACTAAATGGTGAACATAGTTGGAAAAACAGGAGTTCCAAGGAGAAAGTCTAGTTAACAGACCTGGCAAGCAATATATTCAAAATGAGAAATGCCCCTGTGTGTAATACACGCCTCCTAGTGGTAGTATCCAAAGAGACAGTAATTCACACCATTCTATGCTGTGCATAAGATGGTGACAAATAAATGCCAGCTGATAGGATATTATAATGCATTCCGCTCTCTTGCAGAGTTTCACATCTTATCCTGGTCGATCCCTGGGGTTTCCCCGAGCGACCCCAGACCCAGACCCAAGAGGATGAAGGTCAGGGGACTCAGGTGGTGAAGAGGCCGCCCCTTCCGCGCTGGGTAAAAGCTATTGCAGCAGTGGTTTCCCTCTTCAACCCACTGGCTGTCATCAGAGCAGCAGGCCCGTGGGGTAAGACATGTTGCTGTTTATCTAATCGCACTCTGCCAATTTATACTGTTTGCACTCATCTATGTATGTATGTCTCTGACTCAGGTCCGGGCTTGGTGAACAGATTCCGTCCTGATTTCAAAAGGAAATTTGAAGATCTGTTTGACGATGACACTATGACGCAGTACATCTACCACTGTAACGCACAAACCCCAAGGTCAGCCAACACACGCGTCACATTTTTGGTAACAGAACATAATGCCTGAAAAAAAGCTGACCTATCAACCTACCACCTTCTCCATTTCCTTTCCATTTTCTCTACCTTTCCCAGTGGTGAGGTGGGTTTCCGGGCCATGGCAGAGTCTCTGGGCTGGGCTAAGAGGCCCATGCTGCAGCGGGTTCACCTGCTGCCCCCCACCATGCCCCTCACCATGCTGTATGGAGCACGATCCTGGGTGGACAGCTCGTCTGGGGACAGAGTGGTCCAGATCAGGGACCAGGCCAACACTGAAGTCCTGGTGAGTAGAGATGCAGCGGAGAGACATAGTCATGAGGGTCATATTATCCAATTATGAGCCTAAAATGTGCACGTCAGCTTTAAATTAGTGTCATTTTAATTCAATTCCTTGTGATCTTTATTTCCTCATATATTCCACTGTGCAGCTGATAAATGAAGCCTCTCACCACGTGTACGCTGATCAACCAGAGGAGTTCAACAGAGTGGTGGGAAGTATATGTGACTCTGTTGACTGACTGCCATAGTGTGTGTGCGCGTATGGTTGTGTGTCTTAAAGGACTGGAAGTATACAGACAATTCATGCTGGTTTTCAGCACTGAAACCTTTGCATGCGTTTGGGGCATATCTAGACATCATGTAGCTCAACATGAGTTTGAATGTAATTTGTTATTATTGATATTATTGTAGTAAATCTCTCTTGTCATTTATCAGCTGATATAAGCTTCTTTCATTTAAGTGTTGTTAGCAAATGATTTATTTATAAAATGATTTTGTTTGTCGTTGTGTTCATACAGAGTAATGAGTAAACCACTTAAGTCAGTGCTAAATTATGTTGTTACGTTTTAACAGTAAGTGAAACACGCACACCACTCTGGATGCACTGGGTTTATGTGTTGCAGAGCAGCCACAGGGCTACAGATTGACACTTTTTACATGTGCCTGACATGAACTGTACTGTATGAGCTTTTTTTGTTTCTTTGATCCTTGCTTTTCTCTTACATCTTTCCCACAGTATCAAACAGCTGTTTGTATTTTATACTATGAAAACAATAAAAGCTTATTCGACAAAATATTTTCTTTTGTCTGATACCATTAAAAAAATCCAGTGATGCACTTTGTGACCCAACCAGTAGAGGTCAGTAACAAGTGTCATTTTTATTAGGTTTACAGCGTGCTTTATGCTTCTGCCTGTGAGCAGTAGGAACATACTGTTGATTAGTTTAATGTTAAGCAACATATAAATTTTATAAGATGGTCACGTGTCAGATAAATGTAGTGGAGTATAGATCTTTTACTTAAGTAAAAGAAGGCATACTAGAAGGTGAAAAAAAGTGTTACATTATCATTATGTGATTAGTATTACTGATGTGTTAATGTTTCATTGTTTTACAAAGTTATACATTGATGTATGTAAAGTTTTAATGTGAAAAGTAGCTGGTAAATATGTCAAATAAATGCAGTGGAATAAAAAGTCAATATTTCCCTGTACAAAATGATATTATAATATTCATGCTCCACCACTGCCCTTCATGCCAGGGATGTCTTAAGTGGTTGCGGTCAGAAGAGAGATCACAGCGCTACATTAGGCAACACATTAAACACAGGAAAGCAAAAGAGATGAATCACAATATGGTGAAGATAAGCCAAGCCCGATCTAATCTAACACTGTTGACCATATAATGTCACAGAAGTAAAAACCTTTGAGATAAAATACCAGTCACAGTACCTGTGAATATGTCAGTTATATCCTAAATCATAATATGTAGCAAAGGTGTGTCGCCTGCCTGAAGTTGCTCATTTGGAATGAGTCACTATACAGTATGTCATCCTTTATGCAGAACACGTTTTTTTTCCAGGTAAAAAAACTGCTTAGATTGCCGAAATGGAAAAATACAGGTAGCCACTTGCTTCTTTTCTGATCTCTGTTTACGTCATAATTCCACTCTCTCTCTCCGCTTAATCCAGTACAGACCTGTCTAATGTTGTATGGAAGTAGTAGAAGATAACTCATTAACGTACAAGTTTTATTACCAATGCAACACATAGAATACAAACAAACACAGGTTGATAAGGCAGATAAATACTGTAATGTTATTAAAATATTTTTTTCACATTGTACTTTGAGTGCTGAAGTTGAACAGATTAGAACCAGGTAAAAGCGCAGGTGAATTATGGACACTGGTCTCCATCCTGATATGGTTTGCTAGAATTCACAGCAGTGATAAGTCCAATTTTGTAGGTAAGTTGCAATATATATATAATCTGAATTAAATGTTATTATAAACACATGATAGAGAAACACACAGAACAACATCTGGTTCAATTAGGAAACATTTAGGTTTGCATTTTGCTAATGGAGACATTTCAGTTTTATGAGTGGTAACTTGTGGGTTTTCAAAGTAAAGGAGGCACTGTAAATTTGCATTTCATGTGATGATTAAACAACCTTTTATGTCCTTGTAGATTTACATTTTTGGGAATCTACATTGTTAATTTGTGGGGGGAAATAATTTTATCTTTCAACAATAACTGCACCTTTAAGTTAAATGGAACATTTGGGAATTATAATACAATAATATGCCTCTTGCAAAATGTCAATCACCATTTCCTTTGAAAACATCTCACAGTACCCTTCCTTCATGTAAGCCACGTGAGGTTCGTTTTGTCTGACAATACTTTTCACATCTTATGACTAGCTACATGAGTAATACACATACAGTATTTACAGTATCACCAAATGTTCAGGACCCGGCTTCCTTCACATGACTTGTTCAGTGTCTTAAAATGCACAAATGTTTTTTGACAGTTTTATAACCTCAATATACGAATGCTTGTTAATTAAAGCACTTCTTTCTCTGTGCATGCATTTAAACCCTGCAGCAAACTTCACCACAGCTTTAGCAATTAAAAGCAAGGCAGAAGTGTTCATTTATATAATTTCATGTTAAAAAATATAATACTGATAATGCTACAGTTGTTAATTGTCTATTTATAGTTTTAAAAATATCTGTAGTACAAAATAAACAAGACAATTTTAAGATACAGGAACACCTTTCATATAATTAGAGGCTCTCAATTTATGTTTTATGAGGAAAAAGTGAGAAGCAGGACAGGAAGTGATGTCGCTAGCACCCTCTCATTGCTCAAGAACGACGATATCGGCCACTCCGTGCACTTGCGTTAGCTGTCTGCAGTCGAGAGACGCCACCAGCTTCCTGGGTCCGGGCTGGGTGGGGATGAAATGCTCGGTCAGTGTCACTGTGGAGTGACCGCTGACGTCACTGAGAGAGGAAGAGAGGAGTGGGATGTTAGTCTGGCTGTGACAGAGACAGGGAGGCAAAAGAGAGGTAGAGGTATTGCGTTCTTACCCCACAACCACTTCATGGCCCTTCTGCAGACCCAGGCCCTCCACTCTGAACACCACTCCTTTCAGTAAACGTGGCAGGGGGTTGGTGAAGGTAATCTTGGCCGACATCTCCTTACCAACCACAGCTTCTCCCAAAGGCTGCCAGAAGGAAATTCAAAATGAGTCAGGAGGGCTGAACAAAACTTTTTCGATGATTTTCCCATGTTCCAGACTTAATAATGTTACTAGAAGTTATCGTGAAAGTGAACAGTAAACTAAAAACTTACCTCGATTTTGAGGTCAGGTGTACGGAGCCTGAAGGTGGTCTGGTTGGCTAATACTTGCTGGGTCTCACTGACTCTTCCAGACAGGGTCAGCATCAGAGCTGCCTGATCCACCAACTGGTTTTGGTACTGTTGGTAGGGCAGCACCCACTCAATGGTCTTTTCTGCGTGGAGAAACCAGAAAAGGGGCTGGGCTCAGTGTTTAGAATTTTTACTTTCTTTAGAATTATTAGCTCAATAACTATTGATATTGTGTCTCGCTTGTTGTTAAATCCAAGCTAAAACTAAAGCATTGGCGAGTTTAGATTTTATGGGGGGTTACTTTACGTGTTGGACTATTTCTTGGTGGGCTATATGACTTCCTGGAGTAAAGCAACCAGCAAAATATCCAGGAAGTCACTGCACCAAGACATAGTCCCACAACCCTCCATAAAAAATGAAACTTGTTTGTACAGACATATTATTTCGCCTAACTCTCAAGAGCCCAGATATGTGTGAGATTCTGATTAATTCAGAATTAAAAAAAATATTTTATCCATTGCCTACACCATAACATAGTCTAGCACTTTGACCTGTACTAATGCCACCATGCAAAAAAATAAAAATCAAAGGGACTGTAACTCCTATTTATAGCCTGGACCTCTGTCAAACCTCACTTTCAGTGGCGTTTAGTTTCAGTTGCTTATTAGCAAAGCTCCCCTGGCTGTTCCAGTTCATTTCATTGCCTCAAAACAAAACTACTGTATTCACTTATGAAACAAGAAGACGAGAACAAGTTCTTCCCCTTACAAATGAAGTCATAAGCAATAAAATACAACCTTGATCAATTCAGTATTCTCAGGGGTTTTGCTTTTGCAGCCTTTTTTGTCTTGTATGACCAGTAGCTTATGGTGACTGATGTTATAGCAATCTCTGAGATTTTCCCACTATGAGCTGTCTCTTTTAGCTGTGTGTTACCCTTTAATCCATATAGTAGTATAAAAATATTTGTTTATATTTGCTTTAAAGCTCAGCCAACCTTCATTGGGCAGAAGCTCCACAGGCATCTGGTCCTTCTTGATGGTGCCCTTGAGCACACCAGTGTAGTACATGACGGCCACCTGGCTGTGCAGAGTTGTCCGACGAGGCTGCGAGCTCAGATTCTTCACCAGGATGCTCAGCTTGGCGTCAGCACCCATCCTGGGCCCCTCACCCTCCATCCTCACCTCCACGGACACATCCTCTGCCATGGGTGAGGAGTAGGTATCTGGCTTGCTGCCATAGCGACTGGCAGTCTCCACAGCGATGCGTTCCTCATCCGAACCTAGTAAAGGGAGTAGAAGGTTAGTGCACCTCATCCTGTCTGATGTTTCAGGATTTCTTGACAGATACAAGAGATATGGCACACAGTCCTCCAAACAAAGCCAACAGAGACACATATTTTAAAACTGAAGAGCAGGTGAACAGTCGAGGGGTCAGACGAGGGAATCTATGTACAGCTAAATGATCTATGCAACAAGAAAACCTTAAATCATTACATAAGAGTTCCAGGTAGTGTTGAAATTATTCTGTCTGATTCTGAAAGACCAATGCGTAGAAATGCAATTAGCAGAGTACAATATGCTTGCCAATACCTTCTTGGTGTTTGTACAGGTGTGTGATGTCTGCCCGTTCATCAGAGCCAACTGCTTTAGTGCTGATGCAGTGGCCAACAGCTTTCTTCTCACTGTGGAACTGGCTGAACGTACCATCCAGATTCCTCTGCCAGTAGATCTTATCACTGTTGACCTGAGAGAAAAGAACCAACAAACATGATGAGCTCAGACATCAGATAACATGAGGTGTTTGCCTTTCATACTGATGATGAATTAGAACCAATGTATGCATCACTCTTATCTATTACCCATCCATATTTCTTCGTACAAGTGTGGGTTTCGTTTTTGATCTAGCGCTCACCTCAGCGAAGACAAACGGTGTGTCATGTTTGAGGTAGACTTGGCCGGAGCGGATGGCGTTGATGGAGGAAGGGCCGCAGCGGAAGGTGCCCTGGCTTGTTTCCTGGGGAGTAGCATCAACAGCCTGCCAGCCTCCATGACCAGGGGGCAGGTCTGGTCTCGCCATCCAGCAGTCATTCCAAACGTGGAAGTTCCTAGATGGGATTAAAATATATTAATTTGAGGTCAAATTTAATATAATAAATACAGTCCTATGCCAGGAGTAGTTTAGTTTATCATAAAGACTGGGAAAAAGCTAGCTTGCCTCTTTGCATGGATGTGTTATTTGGATCTGGATATCAGACCCAATGGTACACTTGGCACATACGCCTAAAAACATTTATAGCATTTTCATAATAGAAAGACTTATTGGCATTGTTTGCAGTTTTACAGAAGTCTCTTTTATAATGGCAGTCTGTGGGGAAAGTACGACGGATTATTAGGGCCAGAACATTTTTTTTTTTGGAAACTACGAGAATAAAGTCATAATATTATTAGAATAAAGTCGTAAGTTTACGAGAATAAAGTCGTAATAATAAAAAAGCTTCGATAGAGTTGTAAAGCCTCAGCCTGATCCCAGCAGCCGCTGTTTGTCTCAGTCGTACCGTACAGTCAACAGGTAAGCTAACATATTGATAATTTCATCGTTAAACAGTTTTGCTGGCTGAGCCAACAGGCTGACAGTTCTCATAAAATTACTACTTTATTCTCGTAATATTATGACTTTATTCTCGTAATATTACGACTTTATTCTCGC